CGAGAGATGCATTCCAGAGATAAGAAACTTCGAGTCGAAAATAATATCCATCGCTGGCGCGCGCTTATCTTTGCAACGGATCTGTAGAGGTACAGTGAAGCGAGAGATGCATTCCAGAGATAAGAAACTTCGAGTCGAAAATAATATCCATCGCTGGCGCGCGCTTATCTCTGGGTGCAGCGACAGCAAATTTCGCAATCAACAGCATAACAGATAAGGTTGGAGGTTATCAAAACCGCAAAAAACCCAACAACAAATTTCACAATCGGCAGAATAACAGGAAACGTCGAAGGTTATCGAAACCACAAAAAACCTAACAATTTCACAATCAGCAGCATAACAGGAAACGTTGGAGGTTATCAAAACCACAAAAAACCCAACTAGTCGCATAAACAAAATACACGATAAGAATGACGCAAGAAATTATCGATATCAGCAGTCGTTCCAGATGGGTTTTTCCAGAACATCCGCGTCTACTATCAGCAAGTCACGAGGTAACTCCGCCAGCATATAAAAGCGATGACGCCGCACAACATCATTCACACTCGAGTCTGCAATCGTGAACGTTGTCTCTTGACCAGCTCCAGCCAAATCATCACTGTTTGTGTGTGTGTGTGTGTGCATTAATAGCAATAATAGTAAGTACCTCTTTTTTATCAAAGTGCGTATTTATATTCTCAATCCTATATTATCCGACTTTTTTTTTATTCCATTTTGAGTTTCTTAGTTTTATTTTAAGTTTCATTGCAAATTATTCATTCAGTGCCCATTCCTTTCTCGAATTTTATATTATCGGTCCCTTTCATTTTATTTTGAAAATAATACAACCTAGTGCTCATTCCGCATCAACCTTTTTCATTCCAAGTTTTTTTTTTGAGAGACAATTCAATGAAAGTATCAATGATCAATCGCAGATTGATTTTATTTCAAGTTTTATCGAAAATAATCCATCCTAGTATCAAGCTCATCATGACTTTGTTGGACTGCTGATGTTTTTTGTCCTTTTTCTTTCCACCAGATGGATATTACTCAAATCAACGCAGCTTCTCTGATTGCTCCAAAACAGAAACCAAGCGTGAAGTTGGTGGATCTCCTGCTAGGTCAACCCCAACCAATCAAGACAGCGAAAGTGGTCACCACAAAATTTGGTAAATCTGTTCTGATTGAGTTGGAGGACTCTGTTGTGTTCCTGCCCAGTCGTGTAACTGAGTCCTATTCCCCCCACATTGGATATTTCGGTAGCGGGAAATATTCCTTGGTATTCAGAGGAAAGGTGGAGACTGGGAAGGCCAATCCAGCAGCTTCGTTTGAAATTTTGGAGAATTAAAGTAAGCTACATTTTTTTATTTGGGTAAAATATCGTCAATATAACAATGGAGAGCATCAATAAAACCTTGACCAAAGTTGACGAAACACTTTTACTGATCAAGAACAATTATTCGAAACCATTGGCACTTTTTGTATTGAAATCAATCCGTTCACACATACGGAAATGTATTTTAGCATTGAAAAGAAATACTTTTTCGATTGGTTTGAAGCGTAAAATTCAGACTAAGATCGGGGAACTGAAACGGATGAGATTTTTCATCAAAACTATGAATAGAGGACATGTTGGCTCCGGCCTGAAGCCCTATATTCGTTGGATTGATGTTAATTCAATCTTCGCGTCGAGAGTTCAGACCGGTCTTATTCTGAATTTGAGACATAAGGAGATTATTGACTTTTTGGAGGATTCATTTAGATTAGTGAATAAGAGAATTTCAAAAATTTTGGGGCGCTTTTCAATGCTAAAAGTCAACTTTACATTTTCCGGTGACTTCATTAAGCAGTCGAATAATGGGGAATTAGTTGACCGCAAACATTTTTGTACTCCCAATGCCATCGTGGACGCAGGAACGGACCTAGCCGATTGGTTCAAAATCAATGCGCTAGATGTGATCCTCAATAAACTTAGCGAATTTGCCGAGAAGAATAGCGGGTGGGCCTTGAGCGAAATTATTTCTCTGGAGGTGGCCATAAATAAATATGAAATGGGCAATGGCTCATCGTTTATCAAATTACCAGAGCAGATTGAGAGAAAGCATGCTTGTATCAATGTCCAAAATGATGATGAGGCATGCTTCTTTTGGAGCATAGTCAGTTGTTTGCATCCCATTGAAAAAAATTCAAATAGAGTTAAGAATTATCCTCACTATTCACAGATTTTGAACATAAAAGGATTAGACATACCAATGAAGCTGCCCCAAATAACAAAATTTGAAAAAATTAATGCTATTTCGGTGAATGTTTATGCGTTAGAGTTGACAGAAGTCAACGAACGAACATTTTACTCTGTAGTACCCACCAGACTTACTAAGCATAAATCCAATCGACACGTTAATTTGCTTTTAATTCAGGACAAATATTTCCCAAAATTGGATGACTATGAAGCTCCTCCTGACAACGATAATGCTGAAGAGAACGTCAATATAAAATATCACTATGTCTGGATTAAGGACCTTTCACGACTAGTATCAAGTCAACTCAACAAATATAAGGTTAAGAAATTCATCTGCGATCGGTGCCTCAACTATTACCATTGCCAGGAGAAGCTTGATAGTCATGCTGCTCTATGTGAGAAAATTAATAATGAGAAAATTTCATTCCCCAAGTATGATTTTGTAGAATTTAAGAACCATGTGTATAAGCAGACGTGTCCTTTCATCATTTATGCTGATTTCGAATCGCAGTTGGAGAAATGTAATTCCAAAATTTCAAAAACCACTTCAAAGTATCAACATCATAAAGCATACAGTTCTGGGTACTATTTCAAATGTTCTTTCGATGACTCGCTGTCATTCTATCGTAGTCATAGGGGTGGAGATTGCATGGACTGGTTTGCCTGCGAAATGTCTAAAATTGCCAAATTTGTCGAATCCAAATTGAAAAATATCGTTCCAATGGTAGTCAAACCGGCTAGTACCAGCGGCGCAACCATCTGCCACATTTGCGAAGAGAAATTCAAGGCAAAAGACGTTATCGTACGCGACCACGACCATTTTACTGGCGCATTCAGAGGCTTCGCACACCAGGCTCCCTGTAATCTCAACTTTAGGAAACTGTTCGTTGTTCCCATTACGTTCCACAACCTCTCAGGATATGATTCACATTTTATAATCAGAGACATTTCCAAGCGGGGACGTGTGAGCGTACTCCCGGTTAATCGTGAAAAATACATTTCCTTTACACAACATGATGATGAAACAAGCATAAAATTCCGATTCATCGACTCTTTCCGCTTTTTGGGAACCAGTCTCGATGCTTTAGTGTCAACGCTAAAAGTTAATGATTTGAAAATTCTAAAGAAAGAATTCAGTGACGTAAATGAGACGAAATTTGAATTGTTGACACGAAAAGGAGTATTTCCATATGACTATGTCGATAATGTAGAAAGATTGGATGAATCCGAGTTACCAAGTATTCAAAATTTCTATAACAAATTGAACGATACAAATATTTCGGACGACGATTACGCGCACGCGCAAAAAGTTTGGGAATCTTTCGAGCTGAAATCGCTGGGAGAATATAGCGACCTATATATGCGGACCGATATTCTTCTTCTTGCTGACGTCATGGAAAATTTCCGTGCGTCATCCCTCAAGACCTATGGCCTCGATCCTGCTTGGTATTACACCATGCCTGGCTATACTTGGGACTGCATGCTCAAGTATACTGGGTGTAAGCTGCAAATCATCAAAGATATCGACATGGTGATGTTTGTGGAGCAGGCGATAAGAGGAGGAGTATCGGTTTGTTGCAATAGGTATAGCGAAGCAAACAATAAATATCAGAAAAATTACGATCCAAAAAAGCCGTCAAAGTACCTTCTTTATCTCGATGTAAATAACCTTTATGGAGAAGCAATGAGTGAACCCCTCCCTTATGGGGGCTTTACATGGGTAGAAAATGTTGACATTGATGTAACCCAAATTCCTGACAACAGTCCAGAAGGCTATATTCTCCAAGTTGATTTGGAGTATCCTGAGGGGTTGCATGACCTACACAAGGACCTTCCATTTTGTCCCGAACACCGCACACCACCAAATTCAAAATTATCCAAATTAATGACCACACTCCACGATAAAAAGCAATATACTTTACATTATCGAAATTTGAAGCAGGCATTAGAACACGGTCTGAAATTAACCAAGATTCATAAAGTATTAAAGTTCAAACAATCCACGTGGCTAAAGCCCTACATCGAGTTGAATACTCGATTGAGGACTCTAGCCACAAACGATTTTGAAAAAGATTTAAGGAAATTAGCCAATAATGCGGTGTTTGGGAAGACTATGGAGAATATTCGTAATCATAGAACAGTAAAGTTAGTCAGAATGTATGAAGGCCGCTATGGCATTAAAAATTTAATTTCAAGTCCTCGGTTTCAACAGCGGACAGTTTTCGACGACAATTTGGTAGCAGTAGAGTTGAAAAAAATGCAGAGCTGATTTTCGACAAGCCCCTATACATGTATGATTTCCACTACAATTTCATGTTACCAAAGCTTGGAGCTGACGTAAAACTCATGTATACCGATACGGACAGCTTCATCTACGAAATTGTATGTGACGATGCATATAGTGAGGTGATTGATGCAAATATCGAGAGATTTGACACGTCTGACTATGCTCCAGACAATATTTATGGTATACCTCGAGTAAATAAAAAAGTCTTGGGCCTATTAAAGGATGAGGCAAACGGTAAGATTATTACGCATTTTGCTGGACTACGGTCCAAGATGTACAGTTATAAATTGGATATAACGGATGAGGATATTGAAAAAGAGAGAAAGCGATTGGGAAGAAAGGGGTTCAGTAAAGAACGACTAGATAGGGAATTGGAAAATCCAAGGGTGTCAAGAAATGTGTTGTCAAAAATAAGTTGACTTTTGATGACTATGTGGATTGTCTGACGGCTTGGAAAGAAAAGACCGTAGCCCAGCAAACGATTCGTTCCTACGCTCACGATGTTTTTTCCATCGAGCAGACTAAAATTGGCCTGAGTCCCAAAGATGATAAGCGGAAACTGATTCACGATTCATTTGACACACTTCCGTGGGGTCACTACAGTTTGACGGATTGATTTTCTCCTTAGTATTTTTGCATCTAAATTTTCAAACCAACGCTGTTGTATTGATGACTTATTTTCCCACGAAAAAAATGTAACTTCTTTTATTCATCCAATAATTTATGTTGTATATATGTATATTTTCAATTATTTTAGTATTATCTAATTATTCCTAATATTCATATTTTATTGTATAAACTTTTTTTTTCATTTTTATTATTCCTTTTTACATTTATAATATTATACACTTTTACAATTATTAGACTTTTCTGTGTATTCTTTTCCCACACCCTTGTCTGGATGATGTGTACGAGAAAGAGAGAGAGAAAAAAGAGAAGAAGAAGTGAGAGTAAGAGAGAGAGAGAAAGGGAGAGAGAGAGAGATTGGATGGATATTAGTTGAAGGTATGGATGTAAAAAACAGTTGTATCATGTCTTCTGACGAATACAGACGTGCACTAGAAGAATTTGGGTTGAAAGTTAGAAAGCTCAGTGCAGACATCCAATTGTATGAGCAGAAAGTTTGTTCGTTCAAAGATTTCGAGCAATTGAGTGTTTGGGACAAGGTGTTCACAGAACCAAGACGTTCAGTTGCACCTACATCGAGAAGAATCCAACCAACACAGCTACTAGATGGCGATACTGAAAGCAAGCTTCATTCTATTGACAGCTCTGAGCAACAACGTCTTCTACACAAACATACCGTACAATACGAGGAATGCAGCCGTATGTTTTGATGTGAATCGTACACAACAGTGTGATTGGAAGCTGATGAGTAGAATGTATGTCAACGATAACAAACTACCTGTATATTCAATCGACATGCCCCGAGTCAATGGGACCACCATCGACTACAAATTGAAATTATCGTTTTCTGATGGCAGTGACGGCGAAATGGGAGACTGGCAGACATTTACATTGAAGAAATCACCCGCAAAATTAGATGATGATCAAGATACTGTCAATATCATTGCAATTTTGACACTTTGTTGTACACTAATATGTTCACTCATTTTAATCTCACATGTTATTTTCATTATACTGAGAAATAAGGGATGTGATGAATAAAAACTCTGAAATTACGATATATAGTTTCTTATTTTGGCAATAAATTACATAACCAATTATATAAAGTATCGACATTGTGGAGACTGCACTGGAACCTTCCTCCATGGAAATGATTCATGCAAGGTGGAATGGATTGTTGAAACGTTATTGGTTGCCACCAAGAATTGTCAAAATCTTCCAAATTAACAATGTGATTGGTCATCTCCAACTCTGCACATTTTCGCTGTAAAAACTGAATCTTTTGATGGCCTCTTACGTAGATGATGTTTGTCTGCTGCAGGTTATCTCGTAGTATTTGATCCAACTCATTCAAATCCACATAACCACTGGAATATTTTAAACCATGAACGTAACGCTCCACATGATTTGCCATCTTTTTATCTTCTCTGCTTAAACTCGTAAATTCTACAGATGGCTTGAATAGAAAATGACTCGTCTTTTTGCCAATGCGAATGGTCATTTCCTTTGGAATGAATTCACCATCAACCATGAACCCTTGAATATCAACCAGTGCGATCTCCATGGCTCTTCGAAGCAAACTGACGTCTGACTGATGCAGCAACACCCACCTAGGCAATATTTCGAACAATTTCGCTGAGTGGGAGATGTTCCATGATTTGATCGTGAATGATGATGCAATAGGCTTTGGTGTCGGGAGGGAAGCCTGTAGTCGCTTCAATGTCCAACTTTATGTCAACTGTGGACGACTTTAGACCCAGATGGCGCCTCGAGCAATCGATAACAAACATTGGTCGGGATTTGAATTCGGCAAAGTTTACTAGAGAGCGCTTTTCTTGACAGTTATGGTAGCTCTTGTTGAACTCTGTATAGTTGAAGTGAGCGTCAGCATATTGGTCTCGGGAAAAGTCCAATAGCATTCGTTCTTGCGGATAATAGTCGCTATTCAGAGCCAATCGTATGGATTTGATGTTGGCATTATCGAACAAGGTGACGTCTTCATGCAAATTATCGGCTTTTTTCGTTTGGAAAAATACTATAACATATCTTGGACTGTCCAATGCAGAACATGTCTTGACGGACCAGATTTCTATGGTAGATCCTTGTGTGAGTGCTGGTAGCTCGTGCAATTCCCATCGGCGAAACGGTATCATCATAGACTCATCTGCTTTGATACGTGTCAACAACTGCAACTTTATGTCATCGTTGGGTGTGAGATGTGGCACTTTCAAATTGATGCTTTCTATCGTTATTTTAGCAATACTTTGAGTCTGAGGAGATCCTGGCAAAGCAGTATTCGCTCTCTCGACAACCTTCACACTGTTGGCATCATTGCGAGCTCTCACTAAACGGATTGACTGCTTGCCCCACGTTGCCACTTGATGATCATTGAAGATGGAAAACAAATGTTTCAGTGGAATGTTCATGCTAAACGTACCATCGGTGTTGAGGATCGGAGCATTGGGATAGTTCCAGCCTGCTATGGCTAGATGACGTGAGTCTTCAGGCGTATAACACAAGTATCCTCGCACAGTACTCGTTATTCCAGGATATCTGACAGTGTCCAATTCTTTATTACACAATTCATAGGTGCAGGAATCAAAGAGATAGGCTCCAGCATTATGGGTTAATGTACCAGTACCACCACCGGTCACCTTCAATTTACCCTTGATGGTAATGATGCCTTCAAACATGGCCAACCACGAATCTGCTTGATTAACCGTTATATCGATGACATCATTGTTCTCGAATGATTTCACATATGGATAATAGGTACGCCATTCCACTTTAGTGATGCTTTCGTCGAGTCTGGGTTTGCGGAAAACGTCGAACACGGGTGCTAACAACATTGTAGTCTTTGAGTGATTTCAAAAACAGGACACTGGATAATGTCAATGTTTTTCTGTTGCGGCTGCTGCTGCTCTTCGAAGACACGACTGCTCTGGTGTACGGTGTCGAGAGAACTGGTGCTGATGATGTTGCTGATGATGGTATATTATCTGATTTATAGGAGTAATCAAACACTAGTACCATCTTGCGAGTTTCTTCAATTCCAATCTTATTATGATTTCTTCACCTCTAAAATTCACCTGCCTGAAATCTTGGTCTAGAATCTGGAGTGTAATGTTGGGCAATTCTCGCCTGCTGACTATAGGTAGATAGATTAGATTTCTGGGAGTCTCGTCTATGGCGTAACCAGGATCGACTGCAACTGCAAACTCGTAGATCGTATGTGATGGTCTGTCGTTGTAGAGAGCTCCAGCAGTAACGTTGCTATCAATGTGAATGGTTCTCACTTTGGTTATGCTGACCGGCAAATCGGAAGTGTGGACTTGTTGTGCGTTCAACAATCTATTTGAAAATCCCAAGACTTGAGCTATGCTATCCTTCGGGCGAAAATCAATGGCAAACTGTTTGCTCGAAATCTCACACTTTAGTGTATTATTGTTGGGCTTCAACGAGAATATATCATCAACGTCCTTTGCACTTGAGATGCCCAATTCTTTGCGTATGAATTTCTCAATGTCCACAATGTCGTATGAACCTTCGGGAATATCGATGATCTTTCCCGCCTTGGTCTTATCTTGCAGATAAAACTTTGATCCTTTGTCGATATTCGGTATACTGTTGTATGAATGGAATCCCAACAATGCTAGTCCGTGATCAGAGTCTGGATCGAGTTGGAGTGGTGTCAAAAAGTCTATGGAGAGCGTAGATGTACGACCTTTCAACGTCACAATCAGAGACATGACTGATGCACAATGACCGAGTTACTTGGTCTCATTAAAAAGGAATTCTAAACATAGACGTCCACAATTACTTTGATCGAAATTCTGGTATTGATTGTTATTGTACAAGATTTTCGTGCTGGCACCCAAATATTGCGCCAATTCTCTGGGCGGTTTCAGATTGCCATAACTATCGAAATATAAGGCTTTTTTATCATTTTTTATGTAAGCCACCCAATGAGTGCCCGCATGATTGGAGGTATCCAAATTCAATACAGCACACTCGCGATGCCATGGACCGGTGGAAGGTAGAGTGTCCCGCATAAAAACACCTCGAAAATATGGTATTTTCAGCTGTTTGGCATACTTTATCACATCTTTATCGTACATTGATTTATTGGGTAGCTTGTCTAGAAGTTTTTTGAGTTTTTTGATTGTTTCTTCAAGTACAGTCCGAATCCTCTCGATGTTTTGCGTAGAAATAGGCCGGAACCCTGCTTGCCGATAGCCTCCATTGCTTTATTATGTCTTTGATCTTCTTCGAGCTTTTTCTTTGCATTTTTCGCATCAATGACTGTCTTTGCGACTGCTCCGGCTCCTCCAGCTAGAGATCCTAGGGCTCCCAAGGCGGCAAAGATTGGTATCAATGGTAGTATACCGCCACTGTGTGGAAGAGGTATGATTCTTGGTACTCTGATTCTTTTTTTACCGCCAGCCCTCTTGACTACCATTCTGGCTGCATGGAGTGCTTTCAATGCAGATTTATTCAGACCACTTCCTGATGTTGTACTACCACCACCATCTGACTTTGATAGTACATTTTTTATGAATTTGATAATGTTGGATAGGGATTGCTGTGATACAAGACCCATGCCGAGTTTTCGTTTGACCTTCATTCCGGTGGTGACAAGCCAAGCAGCAGCCTTCTCTTTGAATTTAGCGTTCTTCGACTTGACTCTCTCCCACGCTCTATTTTCCAATATCCAATCAGCTTTGTGTCTGTCTTCTATTGAGGAATTTTGTGAATAGGCGATATCGTGTACTCGACACGCGTCGTCCAACGGATTGATACCGGTGTCTCCTCTTGCAAGTCTTTTATCGAGTTTGGTACCTGGACCACAAAATCTGTAGCCTGGAATGTGTAATTCGATGGAAAGTTTATCGATCAGAGAATTAAGCACACCCTCTCCGTGGTAGAGCAACATGAAGACTGACGTGTAGGAAGTTCGACAACTCTGCATATACCTAATGAAATGAAAAATATATCATCACATGATGAAGATCATTCAACAAGAACGGATGTTACCCATTGTGAATTTGGATGAAATTTTGTCAACCAAACCCCCAGGAAATAGTAAACATGGGAAACTGCTTCCCCATTCGTTCAGAGCAATCTTCTGCGGACCAAGCGGATGTGGAAAGACCAATGCGATGCTTTCCCTGCTGTTCAATCCAAATGGCGCGAAATTCAAGAACGTTTACGTGTATTCAAAGTCGTTGTACCAACCGAAATATCAATTGCTGCAACAAGTGTTGGATTCAGTGAAAGGTGTTGGGTATTTTCCCTTTAAAGAAAATGATGATGTCATCAGTCCATCAGAAGCGAAAAATAATTCGATATTCATTTTTGATGATGTATCATGCGACAAGCAGCAAAAAATTCGAGAATATTTTTCAATGTGTAGACACAAGGATATTGACGTAGCATACCTATGCCAGACTTTTTCTAAGATACCGAAGCAGCTGGTGCGAGACAACAGTAACCTGTTGGTGTTATTTCGACAGGATGAAATGAATTTGAAGCATGTGTTCGACGAGCATGTCTCACCAGACATGTCATTCGATCAATTTAAAGCATTGTGCTCAGAGTGTTGGAATTCCAACCAATATGGTGCGATGGTGATTGCAAAAACTTTCGATATGAATGCTGGTAGATATAGAAATGGTTTCGATAAGTTCATAAGACTGTAATCTCTGGACCATTCATCAAGATGACGTCAACCAAGATGCATGATGATGTTGCTGATGCGCTGCGAAAGAAAAAAATCAACGAACAATCGAAATCAATCAGAAGAAAATATTTAGCACTAAAATTGGGCAAGTCTGAGGATGATGATGCGTTACAGAAAATATTCCAACCACTGACATCACCTTTGAAACAAATTGCCACCACGTCCAAGGTAATAAAAGAAAAACTCGATGGAACGCTTTCAAACATCAAGCGAAGCAGAGCAAAATCGTTGGGGTTGAAGAAGGAGAAGAAGGAGGAAGAGGATGGGGAGGTGGAGGTGGAGAGGGAGCAATCGGATTTGAATCAAACTAATTTCATACCTATGATGGATGTGGCTGATAATGCTGGGCATACTGAAGATGATGATGAGGATGGTTATGACGATGCTGATGATGAACTTTTTGTAGATAGTGAAAATATCTCACCGGCTGCAATACATGATTACGTTGATCAGTATCCTGCGATGGCTCAAAAATATCTGACTGAATACTGGACAAATGATGAAAATATCGATACGGTTTATGGTCCCAAATATGATCCAGTAACATCGAAATGGTCTCTCAACGGAAAAGAAATGAATTTCCATCGAAGAACTGGAGATATACTTCTTGATGGCTTTCGGTTCCGTGGCACCCCAGGCCTCTATCAATTACTCTTCTATAATGATCCATCCTTTGCCAAAGATGATACGAACCCATACAAGCGAATACTCTTGCTCACCAAAGCTCATCTGAATTCTGCAGGACGTATGAAGTCCTCCTCTAGACTCAAATACGTAGAAATTATTCGTCCAATGTTCAGATCCAATTCCAGTGGTCGTGGTTTGAAGTTGACATACAACACAGCACCTATCGAATACATGTATTGGGATGATCCAAACGAATTGGTAGATAGATTGAAGTTGCTCATTGCATCACAGCAAGCCGGAAATACATCAAACGATAACGAGATTGTTGCCATCTTGAACGAATTAGAAGAGGCAGGCATAATAAAACATGTGTGACATTTCTGTGATACTTCCGTGACACTTCCATGACAACTTCCGTGACAGTTCCGTGACACTTCCTTGACACTTCAGTGACAGTTCCGTGACAGTTCCGTGACACTTCCTTGACACTTCCGTGACAGTTCCGTGACACTTCCTTGACAGTTCCGTGACACTTTCATGGCATGTCTATGAGTGAAGGGGCTAATAATTGGCGAGGCAAAGTGCCGTCCATTATCGATAACGTACAATACTTTAGTCATTAGCATAATGAGTCTCGACAAATTCGGACGTGGTTCGTTTCCACGCTCAGCTCAGATGGTGACAGTCAGATCTGGATTTTCACATACTCCAACCGGTGATATTGATGTTGGTCATTTGAAGATGTGTAACGTAAAACTGCCAACAGATGTCGCTGATGTTGCAAACAAACAATATGTGGATGAAGTTATATCGCAAATTAAGTTAGATTTCAAGATTGCTTTCGATAATTACGGTGAAAAAATCCGAAATTACCTTGCTGGCTTCAGCAACGAAATAATCAAAGAAAGGAAGAGAGTGGATGTACATGATCTTAAACTAGCAACGTACAATA